AAATTTGTTAGTCTCTAAGGTACTACAAGGACTCCTCGTTCTTTTTGCTGTTACAGACTAACATGGCTACCACTCTGAAATAAATTACTTTAAATGCTTCATTCTTGCATCTGAAGAAGTGAGGTTCTTACCCACGAAAGCTTATGCTCCCAGTACTTCTGTTAGTCTCAAAGGTGCCACAGGACCCTCTGTTGCTTTTTACAGATTAAGACTAACACGGCTACCTCTCTGATACATTCTGCAGTGTGAGCTGAGCCTGCGTTTAGGAGTAATTTATAGCACAAATGGCATTGTATCAAGCAAGGCTGCCCATATTTGAATATCCTCCTTCCTCATTATTCAAATCAAACATTGCCTTCTCAAGGTTTGTCAAATCACTCAGTACCTTTCCGTGATACTGAGACACTTCTATTCCTTCTACTTTGAGCATTCATTTTTAGCTGTTAAACTAGGTCTGAGCAGAAAAGCTTTGGCGACTTGTATGCATTTCATAAACTGCCAAAATAATCTATTATGGAAAATTTGTATGAACATTTATATAGAAGTAACACCTAACAGCTTTAGTCCCATTGTGTGGCAATGTGCTAGGTAATAAATGAATCCCTGTGATACAGTTTGCCCAATAACTCATTTAATATGAGGGCATTCCCACATCATTCATGGCTAGTTAGAATTTGCTACTTTACAACTGCAGGTTAGTTTTAAACGGACTTTTAAAAATATTTGAGGTTTGATGTGGGGCTAAAGAAAATACAATTGTGTGTATTTGGTACATTATATTATGGTATTTTATATTAACATAGCCGCCTGTAATAAAATGTGAACAGAAAAGAAAGAAGGATTAAGAAGATATGGAGGAGCGGGAAATTGATTTGGCAAAAGAAAGGTGTCCTAGATTAGCAAGTATTGTAGGCTCAGTCTCCTTTACAATTCACTGTACAAAATGCAGCAACTCTGGCAATGTGTCTTCCTGCTTTATTTCTTGCTATTCTTGACAGGTGTCATAAGCTGTTCAGCTACATGTCTCGTTTGTCTTTGAGAATTCATTTGGTTGTGACTGTGGTTGGCACCAAGGCTTCACTCTAAATCTTGTCTCTCATCAAGAAATGTTTCTTGGCTTTATTGTTCTAGTTACTAAAATGCTCTGCAGAGCAGTATTTCTATTCGGCAAAGGTTGTTCAAAGACGCTGTTGGCATTATGTTAAGATGCCACAAAGAATAATTGCTACAGTGTACAATGCTAATGTTTTGAGTAACATTCCTAAATCTTTCAGCCTCTTCAGTTACAGGGTAAAAGATAATGCATGTTGGAGCTTTTATATTAAGGGAAACTTTTATCATCATGTTTTATCTTTACACTTTTTCTGTATGTTACAGAAAGGTATTCATGAGTGGAACTTCAGTGCTGCTTCTATCAGGGGAGTAAGGTAAGCTTCCTTTATTTCATGATCTTAAACAAACCAAGGTAACTGGGTGAGTGGTCTGCTGGGATAGTGCAATGACTTGGATGGAGCGTTGGGGACAAAACTTAAGAGAGTTTTGCATCTGCCTGAGACATGGGGATTTCCAATATAACAGAAGCCCTGAAATGTCTCCTTGTGATTCTAAAATGGCCACCTGCAATGGCTATCAAACAAAAACAAAATTAAAAAAATTAAAATTGCTAATTTAAAAAAATATTATTTTGCTGACTAAAATAGTTCCATAATTCACATTTAAGTGAAGTTATAAGTAGAATTAAAATAATTGGTTACTTTTAATGTATTATTATTATTATTATTTATTATTTATTTGCATTACCATAACACCTAGGAGCGCCTGTCATGCACCAGGACCGCATTGTACTAGGCTCTGTATAAACATGTAACAAAAAAGATGGTCCCTGCCCAAAAGACCTTACAGTTAAAGTATAAGACAAGGGATAACAGGTGGATGCAGACAGGGAGAGCAGAAGGAAACAATGAAACTGTGATAGGCTATGGTCTCTACACAGCAGCTGCCTGTGTGTTAAATTCTTTTGTAGGCATCATGGCAGAATAGAGTTTTGAAGAAGGTTTGAAGGAGGGCAATGCAGTAGCATTGTGAATGTTTATGGGGAGCTCCTCCCAAGCGTGAGGGGCAGCATGGGAGAAAGCACAAAGAAGCTTCTTTGAAAATTTACCAAGTGGGCAGTGGAGGCTGGTATCCTTAGCTGATTGGAGGCAGGAGTCAACATCTCCATAACGAATGAGAGATCATAGACCATGAAGGCCTTGCAAGTGAAGACAAGCAGCTTATATTTGATGCGAAAGAGAAGGTGAAACAGTGGAAGGATGCAAAAAGAGGGGTGCCAAGGTCAAAGCAATGGGCTAGGATAGTGATCTTTGCATTTTGAGTGGATATCAGTGGAGCAAGATTGCATATGATGTCATGTGTCAAGGCCAGAGAGAAGGATAGTAATCAAAATGCAAGATAATAAGACTGGATGAGAGTTTAGCTGTAAGGATGGAAAGGAAAGGTCATATCTTAAAGATGTTAGGCAGAAAGAATCAGAAAGATTTAGCCAACTTGGAGGTGAGGATCTAGAGAGAGGGCTGAGTCTAAAGATGATGCCCAGGTGATAGATGTCAAGCCCCTTTCATGGCATCCAAAAATAACTAGTTACATTGAAAACTTAAGCCATTAAGATGTATAATTTCTTTATGTTGTGATTTTAAAAATAAATTGTTATCCTATATTATTTTTAAAAGATTGTTTTACTGATATTTACAACTAAAAAAATTTAAATGTATCTGGTCATAACAAGAAACCAGGTAAACTCTGTTGCCCCTGAAATGTAAAAGGCCTAGTTCTCATTTGCACTAAGGACTCTTTATTCAACTTTAGATCTTCGCTTCCCCATGGCCCTGGCATGCCCACGTTTTTCTTCAGCACTCTTCCTTAAAAGGGGAGCGGGAAATGGCTGGCACAGAAACCAGCTCTGCCACTTTCGTTGGGTTTACTTCAGCAAAAAGCTCCCTTCTGTATGTGGGATTCTCCAATGGTCATTCATGTCCAGATTGTGCCCCCTCGGCATCACTGAACTGCTGCAGAATCTGGCCATAGCGTGTACTCGTGTGCATGAAGTTAAACACGGGCAGAACTATTTGAAGGATCCAGGTTTTAATGTATACATGTTAATATCTAGGAAAGTACCACTGTACTGCTTTAGATCACTTCCTTATTTTTGTCTTATTTTCTTCTTGTGGTTACACATACCATGTCACATCTCATTTTAATATTTTTAACAGTATTTTTTTAAAAAGAAAATCAAATTATCCAACCAGTCCTCTATTCTAAAAATGACACAAAAATTGTCTTATGTCTCTAATAAATTCCTACACAGATGGACCATTTTTGCCTTTCCACCATCTAATAACTCTTTTAGCTATCAACAGACACAGCGAATCGGTTTATTTTAGGGAAAAAACTGCAACAATGCATGTGGTTCGGTTTGGTTTCAGTTTTTGTTACAATACATTTTCGAGCATTTGTAAACTTTTTGCCAAATGGTGGTGGCAGTTTTTTGGCACTGCTAAAACATGTATTAGTGTTTACTAATGTTGTCTATATGCCTCCAGTTCTGTTGTTATCCTGTAAGACCAATCTTATTTGGCCAGATGTCCAAGAAAGTCTGGAAAATTTTAAACTGCCTCAGTAGAGCTAAGGTCCGTTTCTGCCTTGGCTCTGACAGAACTCAGACAATCTTTGATGGCTTGGCTTTGGGGCAGTTGGGCAAAGTTGATGTTTATTTAATTACAAAGCTAAATAAATGTGTACGCACAACTCATATAAACGTATCTGTATATAATCGTAATAAGTGCTGGAACTAGGGATGCTGGGGGTGTGGCAGCACCCCCTGACTTGAAATGATTTCCATTATATACAGGGTTAACAGTTTGGTTTGATGGCTTTCAGCACACCCACTATACAAATTGTTCCAGCACCTATGATAATCGGATCATCTCCTGCTCCTTTCAGTTGTTGCTAATCTTGTTAGATGAGAAGCTCTTTGAGTCAGGGGCCATATTTGTGGCACAGCTAGCACAAAGGGGCTCTGTTCCTGATCCCAACTTCTTTTGTCTCCTTTGAAAATTCTACCCTGGAAATATAATCCCTTATAGCTCTCTAGGAAAGGGGGATTACAAGCTTTAGCAGTGAAGGCCGGGGTGCTCTGTAGTCCTCAAAGGGCCAGAGATCCCAGATTTAAAAAGGTCACATCATTTTTCTGTATAGACCTCAATAACTATTTATTGGTGTTACATAACCAGCACTTTAGCAGGAGTACTGAGGACGTACCTAGTACTAAAGCATGACTAATGTTTCTGGTAAGCATCTAGGGAAATGACTGAGGAGACACTTGCTTCGTGTGTTCCCCAGCAGCCAACATAATCAGCCTCTTGTTCTTATGAGTAATAGAGTTCATTCCTTAAAAATTGAGAAGGAATAAAAAAAGATGTATATAACTTTGTAAACATGGTGCTGAATCACACCCTGTACCTTTCGTAATTGGTTTTGCTTGAGCATAAACTCAGTTAGTGGGTTGTGCACTAATAAATTACTCAGCCTGTATCTCTCTCTCACACACACACGCACGCACACACACACCACACACACACACACACACTACTGAATTGGGCCAGAAAGTACATTCAGTCATCAAAATCCTTTAAAATGTGGCTAGCTTCTCTGTGCACTTTGGTTGGTCCAATAAAAGACATTACCTTATCCAGCTTGTCTCTCTATGCATGTTGTGTCAGTTATGCCAGTTATCCAAAGAAGTGCTTTTCTGCATGTGGCACACAGCTGCATTTTAAATAGCTGAGGTCAGTGTAAGCTATAAGAACAAATGCAATCCAATAAATGCTTAACATTTACAATAAAACAAGAATAACAGCTTCTATTTTATGCAGTAAAGATGAGCCCAAGTCACTGAGGGCTCGATTATGTCTTGGGCACAGTCCTGAGCACCTTGGAGTAGACCCACAAGGCAGTGTGCCTTTGAGAGACCACACTGAGGCACAATTCCTTCCTCATTTCCCCCTGGCTCTAGGTAGGAGAGGGGGATAATTTGCTGCTGCCTTAACCTGACTCAGACTTTGGATATATATCTGAATCGGAACACTCCCAAATTATAAGGGTGTCTGGATTGCTATTTTGGTTCTGCCTAATATAGATGCAGGCCCATAGGACAGATGCTAGGTATCTGATGAGCATGGCATGAGAACCTGAAACAAAGTAATGACGCTCATAGGTGCTGGAACTAGGGGTGCTGGGGGTGCTACAGCACCTCCTGGCTTGAAATAGTTTCCGTCATATACCGGGGTTACAGTTTGGTTCAGTGGTTATCAGCACCCCCACTATTCAAATTGTTCCAGCGCCCCAATGAAGCTTGTTCTCAGGCTACTTCATGATGGGATGACCGCCACTGTCCTCTGTAATGGGTTGGAGACGGACCCATTCACCATCTATACCGGTGTTGTAGGTCTATGTTATTGCCCTAACCCTTCTTTCCATCTATCTTGCATTAATCTTGATTCTTATTCGTGACTGCTTTTCTTCTGGAATTGGGATTGAGTATCGCATGGACGGCCAGCTCTTCAACCTCTGTAGTGTCTTCATTGTACAATTAAAGTAACCAGGACTGTTATTACCAACATTCAGTATGCTGATGACTGTGCTATCCTCATGCACACCGAGGCTGACTTGTAATCCACCCTAGATCTCTTCTCAGGCGCCTATCATAGCTGAGACTTTCCCTCAACATTGGGAAGACTAAGGTGCTCTACCGGCCTGTCCCAGCACAAGTTGGCCCCCTTCTCCCACAAATTGTCATCAGTGGTGAACCTTGAAAATGTTGAGCCAGTACCTTTACCTTGGAGACTGAATATAGGATCCATTGTGCCAGCGTATCCTTCGGAAAGTAGCTCCGTCATGTCTTTATTGACAGAGATCTGCAGATGAAAACGAAGATCCTTCTCTACAGTGCAGTAGTCATCCCAACTCTTCTTTATGAGTGCAAGACATGGGTGACATACCGAAGCCATCTTAAGTGTCTGAAGTAGTTTGAACTGTGCTGCCTTAGGAATATTTTCCATATCAGATGGGAAGACTGTCATGCCAATGACAGTGTTCTCTCTGCAGCCAACATCACCAGTGTTGAGGTGAAGATTATGAAACATGAACTTTGCTGGGCTGGTCATTGTTGCGGATGGCTGATACTCGTCTTCCAAAGCAACTCCTCTTTTCTCAACTTAGTCATGGTTAGGACCTGCAGGGGACAGAGGAAATGCTACAAGGATACCCTGAAAGTATATCTTAAGAAGGAAGGCATTGACCCCACAACTTGGGAAGAGCTGGCTGGCAATAGACTGCAATGGCGTCCATCATATATCAAGCCTCAGTCCGTTTTGAAGAGAATTGCCTTGCTCAAGAATCTGAGAAATGGCAGGGGAGGAAGGAAAGGTAGAGCATTCAAGTCAGCAGTTGTGCTCTCTCCAGGCAACCACCTGTCACATGTGAAAATACCAATAGAGCACGAATGGGACTTCTCAGTCATCTTAAGTCACATCAATGATTTTTCCTCGTATCTTGGGATAACGGCAGCCGACGGACCAGGTTACCAAGCCACCATCTCTCCTTCCGGAGCAGGGAGCTAAGTCCAGGGAATCCCAGCATTTCCAAAATTCCAGTGAAATCAGTAAAAAATGAATAATGGCTTTTGTAAAACTTGGGAATTTTGGAGGTAAAATGGGTAAAAACTGAAAACGAAGGCCCTTACTTATTGTTAACGAAATTTCAGATTTGTTTGTTCTGGTTCAGACCCAGCTCTTGTTTTTACTGATTAAGTTGCTTTGTACTTGGCATCCTATCAATAGAATTTTTAAAAAATTATAGTATTCGAAGTTTTCACTCTTCGCAAATAAATAAAATCTATTCACTTGAAATTTCTTCTCCACAGTTTCTGCGTAATCTACTGATTAACTGCTCTATATGCTATCTCATAAAGAACTATTAATAAGCAACTGTCATGGTGCCTGATCGTGCATCCCCTGTGCATTGATTTCAGTGGGAGTGTTGGGTGCACACAGGATTTAGGTACAGGGCCATAGTAAATGTGCTTGCATGTTTTGTGAGGTAATATCTTTTATTGGACCTCACCTATCTAGTCTCTCTCATATCCCGGGGCCAGCATGGCTACGGCAACACTGCAAACTTGAATGTTTTCTCAGTTTTGCAACTGAGCTCACACATAATTTAAAAACACCCCATATTTATTAACAAAGACATTAATATTTCTAAATATGCCACCCTTGTAGGTGCACCACCCCACCCTAACCCTCCTATCTACCCACACACAAATGGGAAGAGAAGGTTCACTAGTGACCTACACACTGGCTTCTCTGCAGTCTGCAAGAAATTCATTTCACCTATGTAAAGGCCAAGTAAAATGGTGTTATACAGTTGAATGGACGGGTGTTGGGATGATGAAACCCATACACCAACCTAAGGGTATGACATGAGGCTACAGTGCAGCCTTCTCCTTGTGGTGCTACTTCAGCATATAGAGTGTGGTTGAGGCTCTAGCTCCTCTGCATTGTTGGGGATCCCAAATGCTCCACCCCACTGCAGCTCTCTGTGGCAACCTATGAACAGCTACTGCAGAGACATTTTCTACCATTCACAAGAGGTGCAGAGGACCCGCTGCTCAACTCTCCTCTGCAGCCTGAGAATTCCAAATGGGGGCTTACTGTGGAGTGGGGGGGAAGTATTGCACTAGTCATGTGTACCTGGGCGAATGTCTGTGAAAGCCTGAGACCAGGATTTTCTGTGCTTACTAAGTAGATAACATTTATAATCAGATTTACTCAAAGAAACAGTTTCTCTACAGATCTTCAAGAAATCAAGGCTGAATGAATAGAAGGTTATTGAACCCTTTAATCAGACACTTTTTAAATGTTTCGCACTAACAGGTTGACTCGGATATTTGACTTTGTTAGATTTTGTGTTTTATAAAGCATCTCTCTTATATTAAGTGACCATAAGGAAACAGTGCATCAGATTAAAAAAAAGTGTTACTATCATCATTTCATTCTTAATACAAAGGAAAAACATCTGAGCCTATAACTACTGATGTTTCATTTTTGATCTCTACAGGGGAAAGATTCCCAAATAATTTCTAAATTATTTTAGTTACCGTGCTCTAAGGAAATGTAGTTTATGGTGTAAAGCAGTTAATATCCATAGAAGCTAAGTGAAGTTCAGGAAGAAAACTTGAAGGAAAATCTTCGAAAATATCTATATATCCCTAAGCAGATCATCTTTATCCCTCCAGCAGGACAGTTAAAACAACCTTAACATCATCAAAAAGAATATACACACAGACAAACATTCTGATTTATAAAATCATCTCTCCTTCTACTAAGTAGCTTTTGTAAAATGCACATTATTCAAAGAGAATATTTAAAATCCCAAGTTACCCTCACATCTAAAAGTGACAATGAGGGCTACTACTAGATTAGGAGGAGTTGTATGAATCAGAGATTTACAAAGTAGTGTTAACTTCAAAACATTTAGTGATGTTTCAAACTTCTGTATCAGTATTTTCCCTAAAACTAAAGAAAAATGATCATATGAGTCAAGTCTGTATGTACCCAGATACTTCCATAACCCCCATCACCACAGTATTTGAGTCCTTCCCTCACATCTTCTGGTGGCCCTAAATTCTCACATTGCAAGAATAAATACTATTCTCCTTTTGTTTCTGTTTGTAGTGGAGTAAGACTGTAAGTGAAATCTTGACTCCATTGAAGTCATTGGCAAAACCCACATTGACTTAAGCAGAAGCAGGATTTCACCCAATATCTTTTAAGAGTGAGCCAATAAGGGGACTTGTTACATGTGACTTGGTCTTGCAAATCCTGTATCTTTATTATCCAGTTTTTCTCATAAAATCTTTATCCATCCTCCTTTTCTAATATATTCATTATACAAAATTCATTCACCCACGAAAGCTTATGCTTCTGTTAGTTTTAAAGGTGCCACAGGACCCTCAGTTGTTTTTTACAGATTCAGACTTACATGGCTACCCCTCTGACACTGAATCAAGTTTACACTTGAATGTCAGAGTGCAAGTCAAGGGCACAAATTGCAGAATGAACTGCTTCAAGTAGGATGCTTTTCAAGGAACTCAGAGAAGGAGAAAATATTTTCAGATGAGTAAACAACTTTACAAGAGCTCAGTTCACTGGGATTGAGAGAGGATGACTGGACAAAAGGCCCCCCTCCTACCACTTTAGAAATCTCTGTAGTATGAATCCATCCAGTCCTTCTCTATTCCTGCCCTCCCTTTGTTCTGCTGACATAGAAAATAAAAACAAAACTAGATTAGGTGATAAAGTAATGGAGGTGGGTGGGAAAGGGATGCTCATTATTGCACAGGAAGACGCTATTTAAGGAATACTGGGTTGGACAACACAGATATGTCAACTACAGTAACCACCACAGGAATCTTGCCCATGGTGGGCTGAACTGTGGCTGGTTATAAAAGGTAAAGCCACTTCTGTGTTCCAGAAATAAAGGTTCAAGGAGAGGAGGTTTGTAAAAATTCTGTTGCCACTGATGTAGCCCGAGGAGAGTGTGGACGGATGCAAGGATGGTAACGAGTAGCAGCAGCAGCTTCAAGGGAAGGCGAGTTTAAATCCTCTCGACTCTCTGATACTGGAAGGATGTTCCACCTGGACAGCGGCAGTGGTGGCTTCAGGGTGAACGAGTTTAAGAGCGTTATCGAAAGACCATTAAACTCAATGGGATTTTTTCTATTGATATAAATGGATTTTGGATTAGGTCCTTACTCCCATCACTCTTCTGATGCCTTCTTGAGGGATGTATGCAATAGTGGGGGGCAATGGAGGGCTCCAAGCAGCAGAGATAGCATTTCAGATGGTGGACGAGCATGTTAGACTAGAACTTCATAAGAAAATGATCTATAATGGTAGATAGCAAGATAAAATCTAGTACTTTCCTACAGTGCCCTGAAGCTTGGGGCCACCAGTTCAATAACCTGCATTTACTTTGTCTGTTCTTTCAGTATTTCAAAGTTTGAAGAGCGATGCTGTTTTCTTTATGTACTGCATAACTCAGATGACTTTCAAATCTATTTCTGCACAGAACTGCATTGCAAGAGGTATGTATTGGTCAGTATTTTGCAAAACAATCTTAACTTAGATGATGATTTCTGAACGCAGTCCTGTACTAGACTGGTGTTGTCTACTTTGGGATGGTGCCAGTGAGCTGCTGAGCATCCTCAACTCTCATTACTTAAATGTAAATTTAAGCATCTCCTGGGAGGTGCTGAGTACTTTGAAGGGTTGGGCTCACACTTAAGTTAATGTTTCAAACAAACTCGATATTTGTATACCATGGTCCAGTCCTGTGAGATCTGTTCTTCCTGATGTAACTATTAAAGCTTAATTCATGAGTTAGCCAAGCCCCAGTCCAGCAAAGTACATAAGCATATGAGTAGGCCTCCTGACGTCAGTGGGGCCACTTGTGCTTAAACTTATACATGTGCTTATGTGCTTTGCAAGATCAGGGTCTACCGTTGCTTTCCCTGTAGCTATAGTTTCATTTCTGATTACAAAGAAGCACATTATGAGTTCTTTACATTATTGCTAATCTTACGTGTCAAGTATCAGAGGGGTAGCCGTGTTAGTCTGAATCTGTAAAAAGTAACAGAGGGTCCTGTGGCACCTTTGAGACTAACAGAAGTACTGGGAGCATAAGCTTTCGTGGGTAAGAACCTCACTTCTTCAGATGCAAGACTTGCAAATCTGATTATAAATGTGATCTACTTAGTAAGCACAGAAAATCCTGGTCTCAGGCTTTCACAGACATTCGCCCAGGTACACATGATCAGTGCAAGACTTGCATCTGAAGAAGTGAGGTTCTTACCCACGAAAGCTTATGCTCCCAATACTTCTGTTAGTCTTAAAGGTGCCACAGGACCCTCTGAATCTTATGTGTGTTTAGAATACGTGGAGCTGGATTGTGTGTGCACTTCTGAGAGGCACAGACAGCACTGTGCTCATTGCCGAGGAGCAAGGAGGTTAAGGTGGTTTTAAGGCAACTTTCCATCCTCTCAATTCTGGGCTGCTCCAGGGGCTGGAGTGGACCAGGAGTAATTTAGACAGCTCTGGAGGGCTACCTGAGTTACAGCAGACTGTGTCTGGCTGCCTATGGGCAGCAGCACTGTCCATAATCTGTGCAGTACTATACATTATGGCTCCAGACACCTCACAGACCTGCCCCTGACACACCCTGTACACTAGCTTTGCATGCAAAGGGTCCTCGAAAGACAGTCTGCATCAACCTTCCCTCAGCAGGAGAATTCTCCTCCTCCTGGGTCCAGGGCTTTTAGAACCTTTTCATGATGCTTAATGCTTCAGTCCCTTTCCTGGCATAAAGAAGCTACAGGAAGGGTTGAGACCGTCACCCCTGACTGTTAGGTATAATGTTATCTTCTGGACACTTCACATCTCTCTCTCTCTCTCTCTCTCTCTCTCTCTCTCTCTCTCTCTCTCCCTCCCCCTCTCCAAGCTTTAGATATTAACTTTCCACTTCA